CCCCAAAACCCCAAAACCCCAAAACCCCTTGAATCACTTATAAATCAATCAAGCAGTAAATGTTAAAGAAATTAATCTTAATAGTTTCAAACAATATATTGATAGGTAGATAAATTAATCGATGATTATGAGAGGATAATGAATCATTGATTGATCATTTCAGATTATGTCATTTTGATTCAAGGAATATATCCTTAGACTAGGCTAATTAATCCTAATAGATTTCTCTTTACGTACGCACTTAGGTATAACAGCACATCTGGAAGCATCTATTCTAAAAAGAGTCAGATTCTATTCTCGTTGCCCTAAAGAATGACTCTTCACTTTCGTCTTCTTAGATACTCTAATTAAGCAATGAGTGTTTTTCTCCAGTCAATTAATTATTAGGCCTTTTTGCAGAGAACGAGCTTTGCTTCCCACTGCTAAGAGTTTTTACTCCTTAACTTACTGTCTTAGACTAAGTTTCTAATACTGATTTTCTATTTTTACCAAATCTCTCGCTGGTTGTCTTGCCTTTACAATAATTAGAAAATTAAACAGCTATTAATAATCTATAAGAGTTAGAACTAATGAAAAGTATCTTACGTGACAGGCAGAGCAAATCCTATAGTTATTACTATTATATTTATATTGAAGAGATAAAATAAAGCTTTCATAAACTGAAAATCTCCAAAGTAAAAAATGTGAGTTTCGTACTCTTATTCATCATTATATTGATCTACTCCTCTTAAAACAACAAGCATTGTATAAACAAGTATAAATACAGTTAGTACTTCTTAGAACAACACATATAAGAGGAAATAAAAATGGTTTCCAATTCCAATACAATTATTAATCCAAGGACAATGATGATCAAAGCGCTCAACACATAGATTACAGATTACACAGTGTCTTGATCTGGTAGTCCTAATCACCTTACAGTCAGAGCAAAGTTAAGAAGCCTCAAATGTCTCAAGTAAGTCAATAAATTCTATATCAGGATTTGATAAATACCCTGGATCTCTGACTGAGCTAATCACAAAGAAAATTTAAGTCAAAATCAGTAAAATAAAAGTAGAAATTATTAAACTCAAGCTAAGCCCTAAAAATTTTACAATATATTAATCTTACAAACAAAAGTAAATATTATTAGGATAGTGAAGACATAGATATTTAGGAGCACATAAAGTAGGACCATTTTATTGTTTCTTTTCACTTAAGTTTTCGGTGCTTTTACATTTAGATAGCCAAGTCTATTAGTTTCTCTCTAAATTATTCGTTAAATTAAATGTATAAAATAAAATGTTTTCAACTTACTAATAAAGATTGAAGCTGGTTTCTAAGGTCAACTAATTTTACTTCTTATAAATAATCTATTGGTTTCATATTTTTATTATCTGTTATGTCTATTCTTGCCCCTCTCATCAGCAAGTATCTCACCATTCTTGTACTATTCATCTAATCAGCAGTTTTGACCGCAAGATGCAGAGGGGTAAGGTTATCCATATCTTATTCATTAATTGATGGATTCTAGGATAATATATAGGATATAGCTACTTCCGAAGAAGAATAGCAAGCCCAGTGAAGTGGGGTGCTTTTTCTAAAATCACTGCTGTTTATATCTTTTTTGCATACATTAACGAAATAGTAAATAGATGCTCCTGCGTCTCCTTATGCAGCAACATGAAGGACATCAAGTCCAAATGTATTGACACAGTTTAAATTTGCTCCATTCTATATTAGTAGTTTAATGACTGGGATGCACCCCTTAAAAGAAGCAAAGTGGAGAGCAGTAAATTTATCCTTGAAGCTTTAAAAGTTAATCCACATATTTATAGATTCTTCTGTCTCTTTCTGCTTTTCTCTGGCATAATATAGAAGAAACTAAATTTTACCCGCTCTGCACTTAAGTGTAGCATGGTGAAGCAATGTAAAGCCCTTCTCATCAATAATAGAAATTATGCGGACTTTGCAAGAATCTAAATACTTTTTTAAAAGAAAGTCATCTCTTTGATCCAGGAAATTATTTATTAAATTCCAATCAGTACCTACGCTACTTCCTGAATCAGTAATAGCTCCTGGAGATTCAGATTCCTTGTCTATTTCAGATTATATCTCTCATGGTGGGTTTTAAAGAATATTATTGATATATTGCTAGCTATGAGAATATCTGTGAAGAAGTGACTTATCCACTTCATTTTTCCGAATCAAAAATTCTTAATAACTTGTACTTTTAACGACAATATCGATATTAGATTTATTTCTTTATTTTTCATAAGATTACTACTCATTTTATTCCGTGCGATGATAGTTTTAAGAACGAGGAGTTAACACTTTCTGCTACGATTGCTCTATGCTAATATCCTAACTTGATGCTCTCATGATTTTTTAAATAATTATTATATTAAATTATTTTAAATTCATTAAATTTAATTCTATCTTTTACTTATGGGGTTTTGGGGTTTTGGGGTTTTGGGG